GGCTCAAGGTCACGGAGATTACTTCTCAGTGGCTTAATCACATACAGCATGCAGCAGTAATGAGGCTGACGCTGGGCTGGCCGACCCACTGCAGATGTGCACACGCTAAGACTCATGGCCTCCGCCACAGCCTTTCTTCTGTGTGCAGTCAGCGTGCTGACCATCTCATCAGACACCCCCGGGTCTTTGAGCCACTTCACTTATGAGCTAAGAAGTACCTAGATGTTGTGTGTCCCGAACGCAGGGAACGGTCTGAATATCTGCATCACTTCCAATAAAGGCTCTATGCTAATGCCTAACAGGATGGGTTAGGATTGTATCAATCTGAAGAAAACGGAACTGGGAAGTTGGAACCAACCCTTCGGGTGGCCAATGGCCCACAGCAGTAGCCTTCAATGCCTGGTAGTGTTAAAGGTCAGAGCTGAGAACCTAAAAAAATAATAATTTTCACTTTACAGAGGGGACTTCAAAACAGCCTGCCCCTCTGTATGCACGTTCTAACAAAGAGAGGTAACTTCGGCTTCACGTTTCTATTTCGACTAAAGAGAAAATTTGACTGGAGTAGTGCTCCAGTAGGGTCTCAAATCTGCAGAAACCAACCGGGAGGCAGTGCATTTCCCAGACTCCCGTGTTAGTCTCAAGGTGGCTTCCTTTACAACATCGATTCCCACATCGACACCAGTGTCGAGTTTGCTGAGCAACACTGCAGGGAGGAACCAAAGCCACACAACTGCAGCACTGACCACTCCAGCTGTGGGGGCCTGATGGTACACTAGGGTCAGGAGTGGCCCACTGACGAATTCAAGAGAGATAGCTAGGCACACATGCACACACACGTACACACATGTCAACAGAGCCCTATGTTCTGGATGTGGCAGGCAGACGGTGCCAACACTGACCTCCCTGCCTTCCACGCAGACCTGGCATTACAGGGTGAGGTCAGAAGTTTCCTCTGGAGCTCTTTCGTGGGGAGTGGGCCTCTGCCAGGACCCTCCTCAGGAGAAGGAGCGCTACTGATACCATCAAATGAGACGAGGGGAAAATGTCCCTCCATGTCCCTGATTTAATGTGGCACCTGAAGAAAAAGCCTGCACAAATATCTGTCTTTAATTTCTCCCGTGTAAAAAAAGAAATATATTGTGTCTGGCAGAATGAAATAGATGAAATAGCCTGGGCGCATTAAGGAAAAAAAAAAAAGAGGGGGTGGGGTGGGGAAAAGAAATCAGATGCCTGCAATGAGCCTTCAAAGCTAGTCCAGCAGCAGGGATAAATAATTTAATAAACTCAACTTCATATTCTTTCTGTCTCCCCAGTGTAATCAGCACAGATTAAAAAAAAAAAAAAAATCATAGAACTTTAAATTCGTGAAGCCTTCCGAACAGAATCCGAGTCAGCGGATAGTGACAAACAACACACAAAATGATGTCTAGGTGACCACCTTAGGGGGCCAGTAGCTTCTCCACACGGAAGACCACCCATCCCAGACAGTTATCAACACACAATTCACATTTGAATCAAGACAAAACAAAACCACAAGGCCTTGTATTCGGACACTTCTCAGCACAACAGTGCTCTGTTCTGGTTTTGCATCTCCTCAGATGACTCTGGACAGGGTTCTAAGCCCCTCAAAGACACTGTAAGTGGGTCTCTTCCCCAGGGACTGGCAGACAGCCACTTCCAGAGAAAAGGCAGTGCCTGTTGTCAGTTTGAACACTTTCAGTAGAAGGAATCACAGTTGTGAGGGGTTTGATATTCATCAATAAGGTTTCAAGGTCTAATGGAATGCTTGAGATTTTGCTTGGACTTTTCCCCCTAGCTAACTCCTGCATTCTAAAGAAAGCCAACCTAAGGGATTACATAAATGGCATGGGAAACTCTGCTGGATCTTCAAATCCCAGATCCCATTCGGTGGTAAGCATCTCCAACTACCATTATATCATGAGACTCTTGGTTTGCTGGCTCTCTTCAAATACCATTCTATTTTTAGCTCAAGCCAAAGAGATCTGCACCATACCACTGAAAACAATTCCCCATTTATCTCCCAAAGATGGGACGGCCACACAAAGCTTTCATTCTAGTCCTAACATTATATTTGCAATAAACAATATATGTGTATATGTGTGTGTGTGTGTGTATGGCTGGCAACATCAGTTCTCTGATAAACTTTCTACATAAAATGCCATGGCACTTTCACATCGTGGTTTGAAATGGCCAGTTCAGGAGGGGAAGAAAAGTACCTTTTGTGAAATAGCCCTCAATGCCTGATGACAAAGCCCAAGGACAAGAGGAAGTCCTCTCCACAGACATCTCCTAGGATCCGGGCAGAAAACAGCCAGTTTGTCTCCCGGCTCGGCTCCGTGTCATGGAAAATCGCCCTGCAACCGGCAAGCAGCTCCGCGCTGGAGGGGGTTTGCCCTTCCCTCAGTGACAGGGGTCTTTCAGCCCAGTGTTTATGCAAACGGCCTTCAACTCCCTTCCTGAAGGGCGCTTCAAAGGAAGTGGCTCAGCCCAGGGGTCCCCTGGAACACTCAGGCTAACGAGTTTCCACGTCTTGATCCTAGCACCCTCTAGTTGGCGTTCTCAAAGTGTAAATCGTTAGTGAAAAGGCCGGGTTGCACCAAGTGCCTGGGTGTTTAGCTTCGCTTTAACCCAATTAAGGCGCACAGCGAGCCCCGACGACGCACCACCTGCGCGCCTGGCTCGGGCCGAGTCCCCTCCACGTGCGCGCCGAGTCCCCTCCACGTCCTTGACAGAAGGTGGAGTGTGCTGGAGGCTTGGGCGGGCCAGGCATCTCTGCGGACAGGCCTCCCCCGGTGCGCGCCAGGGCTGCGGGCAGCATAGACACAGTGGGGGAGGCCAGGGAGCCCTGGGAGGTTGACAGTCACCCGCCCAGAGCACATTGGCGGGTCAGGCACTGCGGGGGAGCGGCACACTGGAGGGGCTCTAACCAGGTGAAGCGCAAGAGGTCCTCAGAGACAATGGCTACAGAGTCTCCCTGGGTTCCTCTTCCTCTTCCTCCCTGTCCTCCAGCCTCACCATTAAAGGAGGGAGGGGCAGGCGCCATCCCCTGGCCCTGTCCTGGAGCACTGATTTTCAGCTAAGTCTAATCTTATCACTCATGCAAATGAGAAGGAAAAAACCAAAAACCAAAAAACAACCAAAGACTTTCTGAGGATGTACCTGTGCATATAAAAGAAAAATGAAGAATACCATCTTCACAGTGGCCCTGAAAGGAAGTACCCAACAAAGCCGACATCCAGAGTTACAGGATTTGGATGGAAATATGTGTCACTGCAAAGAGATGGCTTTGTCATTTAAAGGTGGGGCGTTCAGTTGTTTTCTGGGGTTGCCGCTAGGCTCTCTCTGTCTATAACCCCTCTGCAGTGCTAGCCTGCTTTCATTTCCTGTACATGGAGAGAACAGGAGACAGGAGAAAGTTCCACCTAAGCTCATTTCCCCCTCCTGTTTTTAAGGTTCCACTATTTAGAAATATTGATTTCATTCCAATTTTTCTGAATTGATGTTGTAGCTCTATCACTGAGACTTGGTTTCTCTGAACATAGTAACCATTTCTCTTACACACATCCAGAAATGTCATACAAGATTAGCTACCTAGAAAGCCTCAGGACAGTTCTCTCCCTGGGTTTGCCCGCTCCTAAATTCCATGTATTAGAATACTAATTCATTATGAAATCGCATTAAAAGCACCCCCCCCAATCTCAGACAGACCAGCTTTCCAAATATTTCTCCAAGTGCACAGACTGCTCAGTGTCCTCTTGCAATGTTGGACAGGTCTACCCCAGTACAGAGAGGACGGGTGTGCTAAATGTTGTTTTCAAGGTCTTAAGTTCCTCAGGGTGCCCGGCACCAGCGAACACGCTTCAGATGCCGTTCAACAACTGCAAAACAGGGAAGGAATCTTTATAACAAAGAGCACATTCCTGCCTAGCTTGAAACAAAACAAAAGAACACATGCCAGCCTATATAGTAACATCCAGAATGAGAAAGGTGCACAGGTAAGTAACATTCCGTCTAAAGCTGTGTTGCCAGGTCCCAGGAGTCCGAACCAGAAAGCGCAAACTTGAGAGAGACCTGAAGCATTAAATTAGCTCCCTCTCAGTGCAAGCCCGGGATCGGTTTAGAAAGCCCGGGCTAGTTCGCTGATTGGTGGAGAGCCAGGGGATACACCTGTATTTGCAGTTCAGCGGGTTAAAAAAAAAAGAAAGAAAGAAAGAAAGAAAGACAAGCTGGGTTTTCAAGCGAGAAGAGGCGGGCTTGGCCAAGTCTTTTGAAAACGTCAATCCGCTTCAAGGACTACAGGCTGAGCGGCTTCTCTGGACTTGCAGTTGCAGCTAGGTGGCCCGGTGGCTTGATGCAGAGCTCCTACCTTTGGTGTGCGTGGCTGCTCGATGCGGGGGGATTAATGAGCTGGGTTCGAGCTGCGGGCGGTAGCCCTGACGAGAGCTGTGGCGATTGGCCGCCCGCCTGCCTGGCCCTGCCTTTATAATTTGCACAAGAGCGCATCTGGACTCGCAGGCAAGCTCACAGCAGCGTCTTCTGACACTACACACGCACACTCACCCCGACACGCCGCCGGCTGAGGACCCGGCCTGCACACACACACCATGCTTCTCTGGAGGCGCACATAAAGACCTTGGAAGGGGGCGCTGGCGCCAAGCGCTGGAGGAGCTGGGCTGGCTGAGTGCAACTTTGGGGTTGGTGACCGGAGTAGGGGCTCACTCCCTGGGTTTCGCTTGCCGAACCCCAGGATTCCGTAGGGGAGGAAGAGAGGCGGAGACACAGAGGGGCGCGGGCTCTCGCCAAGACCGGCTGGGCTGGGAGCTTGCAGGCGGGGGTCCTCAACGCCCGGAGCCCGGGGCCGATCGGAGCGCTCACGGCGGCCCCTTCCTCCCCCAAAGTTGGCTCCCGCGCTGGCAGCCGCGTTGGATCCCACGGCCTACTGCGAGACTCCGGTGTACAATCCGGATCTCTGCCCCAACATGATCGCCGCGCAAGCCAAGCTGGTGTACCACCTGAATAAGTACTACAACGAGAAGTGCCAAGCCCGGAAGGCGGCCATCGCCAAGACCATCCGCGAGGTCTGCAAAGTGGTGTCTGATGTGCTCAAGGAAGTGGAGGTGCAGGAACCCCGCTTCATCAGCTCGCTCAATGAGATGGACAACCGCTATGAAGGCCTGGAGGTCGTGTCGCCCACTGAGTTCGAGGTGGTCCTCTACCTTAACCAGATGGGGGTCTTCAACTTCGTGGACGACGGCTCTCTGCCAGGCTGCGCGGTTCTCAAGCTGAGCGACGGGCGCAAGCGGAGCATGTCGCTGTGGGTGGAGTTCATCACCGCCTCCGGCTACCTCTCGGCGCGCAAGATCCGCTCGCGCTTCCAGACACTGGTGGCCCAGGCCGTGGACAAGTGCAGCTACCGGGACGTGGTGAAGATGGTGGCCGACACCAGCGAAGTGAAACTGCGTATCCGCGACCGCTACGTGGTGCAGATCACGCCGGCGTTCAAGTGCACGGGTATCTGGCCGCGCAGCGCGGCCCACTGGCCGCTGCCGCACATCCCCTGGCCCGGCCCCAACCGGGTGGCTGAGGTCAAGGCCGAGGGTTTCAATCTGTTGTCCAAGGAGTGCCACTCACTCGCCGGCAAGCAGAGCTCGGCCGAAAGCGACGCCTGGGTGCTGCAGTTCGCCGAGGCTGAGAACAGACTGCAGATGGGCGGCTGCCGTAAAAAGTGCCTGTCCATCCTCAAGACGCTGCGCGACCGTCACCTGGAGCTGCCGGGTCAGCCCCTCAACAACTACCACATGAAGACACTGGTCTCCTACGAGTGTGAGAAGCACCCGCGCGAGTCGGACTGGGACGAGTCGTGCCTGGGAGACCGGCTCAACGGCATCTTGTTGCAGCTCATCTCGTGTCTGCAGTGTCGTCGCTGCCCTCACTACTTCCTCCCCAACCTCGACCTCTTTCAGGGCAAGCCTCACTCGGCGCTGGAGAACGCCGCCAAGCAGACGTGGCGCCTGGCGCGCGAGATCCTCACCAACCCCAAGAGTTTGGAGAAACTTTAGAGGCGCCCTGGACGTCCTGTTCCATCGGTTCCATCCTTAGCGACTTTTCTCCCTGACCACGCGAATGAGCTCTTCCTTCCAAAGGAGTCGGCCACCTCTCCGAGAGGGCGGATAGAACGAAACAAACAACCACAACCGAGGGCCACAAGTATTAGAAGCCTTCTTGACCACCGACTTCCTAGTGCCCGCGAAAGGTCCACGGCCACAGGGGACGCACGACCTCTCGCAAGAACGCCACGACTCTCGGAGGAGGCCGGGGTCGGGAGCAGCCGCCTGGGCACCAGCCCCATGCGTATCTGCCCGCCGGAGGAGGAGCGCGTCCTGTATATTCTGGTTTGTAACAAATATTGTGAGCTCACGTTGTCTTTGAAAAGTGTGGATGTTGGTGTTTTGTGATCTGGTGAACACAACCATGTTGGGGACTTCCAGCCAGTTTCCAAAAACAAAGAGGCCCCATTTAAAGATGGATTTCCCCTTCCCCTCCACTTGCCGGTACTTTAAAATCTATCTATGTTCGCAAAGTGTCTGGACACTAAAGAGAAGTTTACATTTTTGTTTCAAATATACTATTGCTTGTTGTATTTCCTAACATTCCATAAATATACTTGAAATGTTATTTAAATATATTCAAAGAAAATTTGAATTCAGCTTATATGATAACGCTTGAATATCTGAATTATATATTTGAAAAAATGCACTTGAAATACACTGGAGAATTACTTTTGTGAGTTAGATTTTAATTTCTGTTGCAGGTTTTTATTTAATTAGAAGCTAATAAATGAAGTGAAATAACAGTGGCGTGTGTCTCATTGAAAAAAAAAAAATTTCAATCAAAAGATGATAAAGCTTTCTTTTGAAAACGGACCCCACCTGAATATTTGAAGTGTTTGAGAACTACGGTAATGAAATCATTATAAAACTAAAACCCTAACATACCGGAGAGAAACTCGTTTTGTCTAGCTACAAAAGATAATGATCTCCTCAGTGTCTAACCTACTTTCTCCAACTGTGGGGTTCCCAAGTAGTTTTGGAGATCCAGGGAAGGCCCGATCTTGAGACTAGAGATGGTGCGTTAACAACCAGCTCTACTGTCAGAGAAAGCAGTCTAAAGGAAAGCTGTACAATAGCATATATGTGGAAACACACTATACCAATAAAGCCAAGCTCATGTCTGACCTGTTTTTGTCAGGGAGTGTCCCAGAGGCATATATATAAAAAACTCAGCAAGAAATCCAAACTTCTTTTCACTTCATAAGTAAACTAATGATAAAAAACAAAAACATTAAGACAAAATGTCTCAATTATTTAAAGCCGGAATTCTATTCGAATGGCTTCTTCTAGAGGCGTTTCAGGAGAGAACAAGTGTTGAAAGGGTTCTAACCATGCGGGGCCCCTACGGTAGTAAATTTAGGAGGTGGCTTTAGAATTCCAGCTGGTGCCCAGCCCGTACCCTTTCATTGCTCTGCGTTTTCTATCTAAATTAAATGGAAAAATAAAGCTCTGGATCTAAGTTCAAAAGTATCAGACTATTTTAGAACAACAGTCTCTAAGGAACACCTTAAAGGGAAATCTTTGCAAAATGATACTAGATTATCTCTCTTGACCCTTCCCCTCTCAGATTCTTAATCCCAGAAAGAAAAGAAAAAGATTAGGAGCTGTAAGTAACACACCAGTTAAAACCAATGTTAACGCCAGTGCTGCTGCACACCAAGCTGTAATGAAGAAATATTCAGGCATTTCTGACATTGCACCAAACAAAGACTAGAACCTTGATGTGTCTGATTGCTAATATGCACAGGCCACTGAAACCAACGCTTTCCACAAAACCAGCTTTTCTTCCTTTTAGATCCATCCACATGTAAAATCCATTCTTATTTCAGGAGATGAAAAATGGATTTAATAATGGAGATAAATTTATATCTAAATGGCTCCCCTCCCTCACCAGTTTCCTTATAAGCTTTCAATGAATAATAATTCAAATCGCGATGTGCACATTGGGACATTAAAAGTGCTCTTAATAAGAAATTTCATAAGAGCGTTCCTCGCTCTGCTTTCTGAGAAAGCTTGACATGCTGGACCCCCGGGACTGGGGCGCAATTGGCTTACGCACGAAATCTGCCCAAACGTGCACGCACAAAGACACCCCGAGAAACATGGTTAAATGTTCAAGCTTCAGTGCATGAATGCATTCTTCAATTCCAGAAAAGAGGCGCGCTGTATTTCCTTCCATTCGTTTTCCCCGAGAACAGGCACCCGCTCCCCTCCCCCTCGGTCAGGTCATTGAAACCAAGGAAAACAGAAAACCACTTCCAGCCCCAAAGCCACCAGGCCTGCACAGGGAGACACCTGAACTCACCTTCATGTCAGTCTTCTTGAAGGCGGGATCATCTTCGTCCACCTCGAAGTAGATTTCGGTTGTGGTGATGGACAGGGTCCCTTTGGCCACCACCACCGGAGCGATGAGCTGGGCCGGGGTGCTCAGAACCACGGGGCCTGCAAGGCAAGGACAGGCGTCACAGGGGCCCGCGGGTTTCCTCCACTCGCCCCACAGAGGTGTAGAAGGTTTGCATTTTTTCAGGTGCACTCAAAAAGTCATCATAGAAAAACAAACAAACAAAACCTCGATGCCTACTTATTCGGCAAGCTCTTTATGAGTGAGATATGGTGTGCTTGGCTATTAGACACTCTCTTATAACGACACTGCCGAGAAACAAGTCTATGAACACCCTAGGGAGGGACGCTTAGAGTTTTCTACCTCGGCCTCGGAGGCCTCAAGGTCGGAGAGACACAGCCTTCAAGCAGCTAAGAAGTCAGGCTTTCCGGGCGGCCCCAGGCGTCAGACCCCCCAGTATTAGGTCTAAGACTCCCCAGCCAGGACCACAGAGTACCCGAAGGGGGTCAGCATCTCTCAGATTTACTTGTTACACAGGGAGCTGAATTCCATATCGGCTTTTTAAAGGCGCGAGCGCGCACATTACGTTTATCCCGCGAAAGGGATCACAGCAGCAGTTTTTTCGGGGTGCGGGGGTGGGGAGACATGGGGCGTGCATTCGCACGTGTTCGTGCCGAGAAAGGGCGCCCTACGGAAGGAGCCCTCCACTTTGGAACCCAGAGCAGCCACGCGGGGTGGCACGGGATTAGGCCGGCCAGGAACTTGGGTGTCTGCTCGGACTCCTCCATCAGGGAGCGTGAGGGAATATGAACTCAAGAGCTGGAGGCTTCGCTGCCCCGGGACGTGTCCAGGGGAGAGGCAGATCCCTTGGGTTTGGACGTGGCCGAGGAGCCCGTGTACCCATCTTTCCCGAGTCGGGGAGCACTGCGTTTCCCGTCCACCCCCGCCCGGATCCAGATAATAAAAGGAGGTACAGTGACTGTCAAGGCCAGGTCCCCTGAGGGCGCCGACCCCGCTGGGAGCACCCCGAGACTTCGAGGAGGGCTCGGTGGGCTTCCGCAGCGCGCACGGCAGGCCGAAGCCGGATCCCCGCTCTCGGGCCCGGATCCACGCGGCCCCGCGGTTTTCCTTTGCAAAGGGCAGGCGGTGGATCTGAAGCGGTCTTTTAAAGGCTCATCAATCTTAATCTAGACTGCTCCAGTAATTATGCCCGAATCTCTTGTACGATTACAAGTGGATTTGGGTTTCTATTCCCTAGGCCCTCCTTTGTGTTTATTGGAGGGTCTGCGCGCGCTCGCGGCGCCTCCTCAGAATCCCCCAGCCGCCCTGGCCGGTTCTAACCGCTCCCTTAACCCTTCAGCCTCCGGGCCGCTCCTCCGGAGGCCCGGGTCTAGATTCCTTCCCCTTAGGGAGAAATCTGCGGGGTGAGGAGAGCTCTTGGTTGAGCAGAGGTGAGAACTGAGGCAGGAGAGGCGCCTCGGGAACGCGGGGTCGTTTCAGGTATTTCTAGGCCGCGTGAGGACCCCAGAAAGGACCTCTTTTCAAACAGAGGACCCATGATTTCTGTTTGAACCAATAATAACCGGCCCTCCTTTCTGCGTTTGGAGACGAAGAATGCTCAAAATCATTGAACATGGCGGTAACTTCCTTCTTCAAAAAACAAAAAGAAAAAAAAGTATTCTTCAACCCAGCCAAACAATCAGATGGGGGGAAATTGCAAGAAAGAAAAAATTGTGACATAATACGGCGCTGATTTACTGAAACCTATTACGATTTTTTAAGTACGCAGTTCTGTTAACTTTTAACGGGAAACACATTTTCTCGACCCAGTTCCCTTAGTCTCTGAACGGGGCACTGCCCTGGCTCTAGATTGCACCCCTATTTCGCTCTGATGAGTCGAAGTTTCCTGAGAGTGGGCATTTGAACTGGTCTTTCTTTACTGAAATGTTCTCCCTTAATAGTGGGTCTTTAAAAAAAAAAAAAAAAAAAAGATCTCTGGTCCTTTGGAAATCTCCAATTACAACTTCCAATTCCAAAGTCGGCTTAAGGAGGCGCCTGCGCGAGCAAACCAGGCGCAGAGAGACCCCAGCGCTAATCCACTCTAGCAACACGGAGCTGAGATTAGGTTTTAATCCCCTCTGGAGAAGCCCCTAGATTTTAGGGATCTTTCATGTGCGATGTGGTGGTTAGGAAATTTAGGATGCCTTTCCGAATACAGAGAGTTGAGAGTTGAAATGGGGCAGGCAGCATCTCTGGATGTGAAGGAAGACGGAAGCAGGGCTCTGGCTGGAGACTGCTCTGGAAGAGAAATAGAGTAGCTGGTAGGTGTTTCCTTCTGTGGACCATGGGGTCGCTGTGGGTGGGAACTGACTCCAAGGCACACCTAACAACACTTCACTTTGTTGGGGACAGAGTGAACATATTCATTGCAATCACTACTGTTGCAACGGATGGCTAAATTACAGTAACTTCCTTGACACACACAAGTAAAGTGCCAGGCAAGTGGCTGGAACAGAAGCTTCTGCTGCTTGGATGAACAGAAGAGTTGAAAATTCCACCACTTAAGAGTGGTGATTAAAAGAAAGATGAACGTCATTTGCATTTTAAAATGGCCAGATGCTATTTTAAAAACATATTGATGTATCACTGTCTTTGAAGGTAGAGATCTTGTTAGCCTGAGTTTCCAAGCTCATGTAGGCTGAGGGAGAACAAAGCTCACCCAAGCAAGCATCAGAAAGGGATGGTTGAAAGAATGCACTTCTCTTTGGAGTCAGGGGGGGTCTTTAATCTATTGAGGTGGCAAACCCCATCATGGACCTCAAGTGGAAAGTACATATGTTTTATATTTGAGGAGGGAGCTATTCATCAAATGTATTTTAAAAATAGAATGTTAAAAAGAATACTTGTGGGTTTGGATGCTTCTGCTGAAAATACAAATTCCAAGCCTAGAAATCTGAATAACAATGCATAGACATTTCAATAGAACATTACCTTTTACAAAGTTCCCTAACATTTTCACTTTACTACAGGAGTCCACAAAGACCTCTGGTAGCATAGTGCTAACCTCAGGGTCAGCAGTTCGAAACTACCAGCTGTTCCGTGGGAGAAAGATGACGCTTTCTGCTCCCATAAAGATTTACAGCCTTGGAAACCCTGTATAGGGTCGCTATGAGTCGGAACCGACTCCACGGCACATAACAACAACAACAAAGATTTATAGCCTCGGAAACCCTATGCAGGGTCACTATGAGTCGGAACCGACTCCACGGCACATAACAACAACAACAAAGATTTATAGCCTCGGAAACCCTATGCAGGGTCACTATGAGTCGGAACCGACTCCACGGCACATCACAACATAAGAGTCCACTGGAGTCCTGGTGTGGCACTGTAGGATAAGTACTGGACCACAAGGTCAGTTTGAACCTCAAGCTCCTCAGTTCAAATTCATTAGCGGCTCCTTGGTAACCCTATACAGTGTTGCTATGAGCCAGAATCAACTTAAAGGCAATAAACAACAAGAGTCCACTGGGGTCCTGGTGTGGTGCTGTGGGGTAAGCACTGGACTGCTAACCTCAAGGTCGGTGCTTCTAACTTGGCAGCCGCTCCTCGGAAACCCTATACAGGATCACTATGAGTCGAAACCCACTCAGAGGACCTTAACAACAACAAGGAAGCTGGGTTTTGCTCTGAGCTGGGCTCAGTCAGGAAGCAGGGATAATTCTGTTAAGTGACCAGCTTAATCTTATGGAAGGAGGGAGGAGGAGACCTAGACTTGGGTATAACTGGCGGGAGAAGGGGCAGTCACCTCTAGTCTCCAGGAGAGGGGGTATGTGGTATTTTTTCTAGCATGCAAAGTGATGTTGTTTTGCTCTGTGCTTAAGCCCAACAAGACAATAATAACAGAATCTAGCTGTGAGCACCAAACCAGCTGCTAACTACCAGGGCTGCCTCCTTGGAAGTGTCAGGCAGCTCCCCAAAAGTCAGCGGCTGCTGCTTCCTCTCAGGTGGCAAAAATTAATAATTTGGGGGAGACTGATAACATCCTAGTGATTAAAAGGCCATGACAGCAATTCAATTGTGAGACAATGCTAAGCTTCCTTATAAATTCCAATATACTTATTATATGCAAGCCCAGCCAAGAAAGGGGGCAAAGAGCTGAAGCTTGATTATAATCCGTGTGATTCCAGTTCTAACTACTGTATGTGCTAGTCCAATGTATTGTAGAGTGGATATTTCTTAAACTTTGTTTAATACTTGAAAAAAAAAAAGCTTTATTAGCTGTATGGATTTTCTACACCCACAATCACTTTGAGCCTGTATGTTCAATCTGCTTTTACAACTTATTTGTGGAGAATAAACACTGACTAATCTTAGTAAAATTAATGAACTTAAGAATCGGGCTGCTAATCTCATGGTCAGCAGTTCCAAACTACCAGCTGTTCTGTGGGAGAAAGATGAGGTTTTGTGCTCCCGTAAAGATATACAGCCTCGGAAACCACGCACAGGGTCGCTGTGAGTTGGAACCAACTCCATGGCACATAACTAGCACCATGTAATTAAAATAATTTTTAATCAAAATGCTTTGATCTCAAAGTATAAAGTAAATGAATGGAGAATGTGAGAATGTTAGAATGTTGTTTTGGAATTCAAGGACAGCTATGTTGTTGTTGTTAAGTGCCACTGAGCAACCGGTGACTTTGAACCACCGGTCTTGTTGTTCAAACTATAGGCATTAAGAATATGCGTGTGTGTGTGTGTGTGTGTGTGTGTGTACCTGGGAGTGGGAAGGGAAGTTGGCAGGGGAATCCCATAAAAGATCCCACACTTTCTATTACCCAGGAGAGCTCCCGGGACTGCAGGGACGTTGTAAGGCCTCAAAGAAAAAGACATCATCCTAACACAGTCTCCAGACAGCAACTCTTCTCTTTAGATAAAGAGAATACTGACTGTGGTTTATCTAAAACTTTCGTGGAAAACATGGAGCTGAAAGATCATGGAAGTTTTCCATGACTATTTGAAGCCCCTCTGAAATCTTCATAAACCTGGAAAGGTAGAGTGTTATTTGTTGAATCAGGAGGAGATGAAGTGAACTATGAAT